ATATTTTGCTGCTTGTCTCAAAATCTGTTGCTAAACAAAATGTTATTCAAATTGATTTGTAAATTGAGTTTTACACTCAAAGAGAGAAAATTTGCAAAATTTAGCAAGTTTCTTCGTTCAGCTTTGCATACTTCGGCTAAGTAGTCCAGAATAGTTAACAAACTGAAACTTGTTAACTTCTTTAAGACTTGCTCAAGTATTCTCTCTGCTTCTTTTCTCTCCACTTTTTTTTCTGCGTGACCCACATATGAGCGGCTCACACAATACAGCCTGATTGAGCAGGCCTTCAATCAGAAGCTTAAGCCCGACCTGGGCCTTATTTACCTCCAGTGTCGTCCGCTGACAGCGAACTCGGAAATTGTTTATATCTTTTTTGATTTATGCCTAGCTCGCCTGCTATATATGGTATGTGGGCTATAAGCGCCAAGTTTCGTATATATTTGGACAATTTATGAAGGACGTCGCCTGGTCGCCGGGACAGGGTGAGGGGTGCAGCAGAGGGATTGAAGTAAGCCAAGCCACAAAATACCCCTAAGACGCAAAGGCCATGAACTACGACCTCAAGTCCGTGCCCTTTGGGATTAGAGACAAATTAAAATTGTAATATTTTATTTATGTTGTGTATTGTTGTTGTTGTTGTTGTTTTTGTTGTGGCACAATAAATGCTGAGGCAGGACATTCGTCCTGCCAAATTGTCATTCGATGCGGAAGGGGCTTCCATAGAGACGGGGGCTTTGGCACGGGTGGGCGGACGGGCGTATGGGTGGGGGGGCTGTCCCCGTCGGTCTGTTGGTATTAGGGGTTAATTTGTGTGTTTATTGCAGTTGGACAAGTTTGCGTTTGTGTTTGTATTTGGTCGCCGTGGGTGGCCGGCAGATACTTAAATGTATTTACCAGCAATACAGCAACAGCAGGAACAACAACAACAACCACAGCAACACCAACAGCAACACCAACAATAAGTAACAACAATGAGCAAACGGCAAATGTCGAACGGCAACGAAAAATTGTAGACTATTTAAGAAATTTATGTGCGGATGTTTCGCCGTCGGGATATTTCCGGTTTATGATGATTATGTTTTGCGCGCCAGCACCCGCACTTGCCTCCGTCCAACTCCGCACTCCCTCACTCACTGTCTCTCTGTCGGTCTTTCTCTCTCTCTGTCTGTCTGTCGCCTACCTCAACTCAATTCCCTGGCTCGCCTGTCGACTCCTTGTTGTGCCACGTTTTATTTTCGTTCATTTTTAACAAGCGGATTACGCTTTTGCCACGTTATTGTTGTTGTTGTTGTTGCTTTTATAACTCTGTCTCTATGCAATAGCTCTGAGCCGGAGCTTGGGTCGGGCTTTCATTTCTTTTGTTGCTGCCAGCATAATGCATAATAATAATCATAACAATAATTTCTTTTATTTCTATTCGTTTTCTTGTTTTATTTTATTTTTTATACGCTGACCAAAGTTTTTTATTTCTTCGCCGCATAATTCTTGTGTGCATTTTAATTATTATTCGAAAAGCGTTTCTATGCATTTGCATTTCATTCTGTGTACTTTATGTATAATATTCTTGAATTCCTTTTCATGGCTTATAAGCCTAGCAGAAAATAAGCGCTGGAGCTCTGAAACACCTTCATCATGATCCAGAAGCAAATGCGATTTAAAGTTTATTTTCCACTCACATATATATGCAATTAAATATAATAAACGTTTGCTAGTCAGGTTGAATACAGTTATAAAAATAAAGCTTAATTAGTTTTTAGCATTAAAATGTAATAAGTTTAAAAGCTTAAATCAATCACATTTGATTTTTTTCATTCATTACGTTTTATTTGTGGGTGCGATTCGCATATATTTTCTGTGCAGAATCCCGTGCTGCAACTATTTCACCGCAATGCCGCAGTTAAGTGAACAGAGCTGGCAAATTGCTGGAGCAACCACAGTAAATGTGGCTTACAAAGCCATCAAACCCCCCCCCCACACACACACACTCATGGGTAACCAACTTCTTAAAAAGTGAACAACTCCGAATTTGCAGTACGCAGAGAGGAACAAACGGCATGAAAGGAGTGCAAATTAATTTGCCTGACAACAAAAAGAGTGCGGAGAGTAAATACACACGACAGAAATACACACACGCACACTCACATAAAGAAGTGGGGTATTATTTTTATTTCTTCATACAAAGGCGACATCGTCTGGCTTTTATTATGGGTATTCCGCTAGCTGGCATTACATTTAGTGCCTGGCCATTGTTGACGCTGCTGTTGTTGTTGTTGTTGTTGTTGTTGTTGTTGTTGCGATTGGTGTTGCCTTTGGTCAACGGCCGGCCACAAAAAGTAATCTCTGAGCATAAACGCATAGCCTGCCTGCAATTATGCCGAATGCTGAGCATAATGCGACCACAATTTTCATTACCACACACAGCGAACGGGGGCTTTTTGGACATGTCCACCCAAATGTCACTTCAACAACAGCAACAACAGCAACAAATAATGCTAAATTTTTATATTAAAGCTCCTGTGTATGTGTGTGTGTGTGTACATATATATGTATGTGCTACTGGTGCTAAGCCTGAAAACGCGGCCACGACAAAGTCGCGCATAAAGCCAAAAACAATAACTGGGCTTTAACCCGTCGCCTAGCTGCATGTACGCCTCATAAAAGTCTAATTAATTAAAATCGTGCCCGAGTCGCCCAGAGGCATCACCGACAACGCGACGAACGCCCCCAACGGCAGCAGCAGCAGCAGCCACAACGAAAGCAGCAGCAGCGGCAGGAGTCGCTGTGGGTGCGTCAGCCAACGGCTCGTATGCGTAATGCGCGCTGGGACTTTGGCGGCAGACGCTAATTAAAAGCCTGCAGCACAACTTTTCTAACAAACAAGATATGGCAACCGGCCACCATCAGACCGAAGATAAAATACTCTTACTGTTAGAGTATTTGCATACATAAATTTCTTTAATAGAGATTATTTATAGTATTTTATTTTTATTTATATATATATTTATTTTTTATTTATAGTAGATGTTATAATTATTTAATTATTTCTTTATAGTACATGATTTTTTAAGGCAATTATATATACAAATTTATTATAAAAAAAAATTATATTTATTTAATTACTTATCTTTACTTATTTGACAAAGATTTTTAGCACTTTTCTGTGATTATAGAGATTTTTATTTTATAAATCTAAATAATTGGTTGTATAGAGTTGTAAATATTCATCAGTATTTTTTTCCTCTCTCTCTCTGTCTCAGTCTCTCTCTCTCTTTCTCTCTCCCCTCTCTTGTGGTACATTTAGCAAAGTTCTTAGCTCAGTCAGCATGCCCAGTGGGCGCATTGAATGGTTGCAAATATCAGCTGCTAGAATAGTAGTTACAAAGGAACTGCCAACACACTTTTCATGCGAGTTATAAAGTTAATCAGGCCTCAAATGTTATCCCCAGTGAAAAGCTGAAGCTGCGCCAGCATCAGACGCAGCTGGAGCCGCTGGAGCAGCAGCCGCATTGGAATTTGATTAAAAGTACTTTTAATAAAGTTCCTTTGCTACCATTGATGATATTTATTGCATGCGTTTTTCATGGCCTCTCCCCCTTAGCATGTTAATTAGTTTTTATGATGGGCATGTGTGCCTGTGCGTGTGTCAGTGTGTGTGTTCTTTGTGAGTAGACGAGCGCACACAAGCCGGATCAGGCCTGCGGGATTATGGCTTATTAAAAGGCTTATGAAAGTCAAAAGAAAGTTTACTTAATTTCAGTTAGTTAAGCGCCAATGAAAGCCGCCCACTTGAGCATTGACCAAAAAACTTTTCGCTTCCCTGCCAAATGGCCAATAAAAATGGCTTAGCTCGATACAGCGGCCAACGGGGAGTTGGCAATTTCACAAGAATTTTTTTGGATTAGACACTCGCGAGTTTATGGCCCGGACATAAATTCAAATGGTCCAACATAAAATCAAATAAAAATCTGCAATAAACATCAAATTGACAACACGTTGAGGACAATTCCGGCCATTGTCGTGGGTTGATCTCGGAGCCAACTTATTTGCATGCTTAACTTTGGCCTCACGTTCGCCTGCCTATTTTCGGATTAAAGCAAATTGTTTTCCTCTTAAATTTTCGCTCCAAATATGAGCAATTTCTTTCAATTACGGCAAAACTTCAAAGCGTATTTGGGAAACTACAGAGGAGTGAAATGAAGTCAGCGAAACGAACAAATTCGACTAAATTGTAAGTAGTATTCCGTCAGCTTTTCTCTAGATAGGGCCAATTAATATTTTTGTTGTGCTGCAGCCTTTACTCTATTTGGTCTCCTTGTTAGCCGCGTCGTCGTTTTGGCTGGTCAGGGACAGTCGCCTAACGCTTCAATGACCAAATGCGTACCTTGGTCCAACCCCTCCTTGTGGCCGGGCACGTTTCTGGGTATTTTACCCCGCAATTATGAGCGCAATTGTGCGCACTTTTTCCCCGGCTTTGACTGCGCATTTTAATGTTTTCTTCAGTTTTCCCTTTTATTTTAAATTTTTTCATTTGGCAAAAATAAAAAAGGGAAAGGAAACATAAAATAAAATAAAAAAGATCGTTAAGAAAGAGTTTCAGACATGCTGGGCACGTGCTGATTGATGTAAAATGCGTAATGAGCGCGGTTACACCTGTGACAGGGCGCCTGGAGAGGTGGCTGCCAAAGGTATAGATAGATAGATAATGACCGCTCTGTGATAAAAAGTTTTCTAATTAGAATATTCGAAGCAGTTGCCAAGTGCACTTGGAATATTCGACCCTTTTCCTTGGCCACTCTTCAATGAGCCAATTTAAGGCAATCTATTCTTTATACTCTAGTGTGCAAAATGTATTAAAAATTTATCTTATTTAATGAATAATAATGATATTTGTACCATATTTTCTAGGCATTTAACTTTTATTATTTAAGTGGTTATAATGTTATCATTAACAGACTCCTATGTAAATAAATAAATTAAAAATTAAATTAAAATTAAAAATAATTAAAACAATTGTGTGAAAAAAGAAATACATTTTAGTTTTATGCTCCATTCAATATTTTCTATTTATAGTTTGTATCAAAAGTGTTAAATATAGAGTTAAAAAACCCACCCATTGTTCATATTCAAAGAAATATGTTCTATCTCTTTTTGCAATTTATCGATTATTTTGACATTAATGCAACAACGCTTTCCCTTTATAGCTTCTGCCATCTCTCTCACTCACTGTTTCACTATCTCTCTCTCTATCTATCTCTCTCATTCTCTCTCTACTTCTGTCTTACTCTCCACTTGCTCTAACTCAATACCCGTTCCTCTCTCTCACACTATCGTTTCCTTTCTCACTCTCTCGCAGTCTCTCTCTCTTTCCCACTTCTCTCAGCTCTATCGTCATTGTTATTATATGTATTTGGTAAGTAGTCCTCAGTAGAGCAGCGGAACAGTCAGACGAAATCGTGAACGCCGTAGCAGGACACTGACCAGCTTAAAGCCCACACAGAGAATGAGCAGAATGGCAAGCCCAGATCGGAGAACTAGAACCGATATGAAGCCCAGATTGTAGTACTGTACGATGGACATATCTTCCTTCCAAATGCGCATATGTGGAGCACCGTTGTGGCGCAGCACATATTCAGTCCACCAGACGGCGTTCTCCAGCGGACTCATGGGCAGGTCGCGCAGCCTCTTGGATGTTTGATGCGCATTTGCTGAATAGAACGGATTCTCGATAAGCTCCTTGATGGACTTCGTTATGGATCCAACAGTCATCGTAGACGGATCCACTACTTGAGCCAGTCCGGATTGCTTCATTAGCTCGGAGTTGGCGAACTGGTCGTAATACAGAGGCACACACAGCATGGGCACCCCGTAATAGGCGCCCTCAATGATGCTCAAAACTCCGGCATGGGTGATAAGCAATTTCACATTCGGATGGGCCAACAGAGCGCGCTGCGGCAATAATTGTGTCACATATATTTGATCAGATTTCTTAGGCAACGGCTGATCGAATTTGAAGACGACGCGCTGCTGCAGCTGCTCAAAGCTTTGCAGCATCATTTCGATCAGCCTGGGGGGTAGCCAGCACTCAGCTACATCCAATCCCATCGAGAAGATGATGAATCCATGCTCGGCTCCATCCACAAATTGCTGCAGCTCCCCATCGAGCTCAGCGTACGGCTGTTCCAGGTGCATTCCCGCCACCTCGATGACATTGGGAACGTTGGAGCGGGCCCGTCCCAGGCTGAAGTGCTGATTGATCAGCACCAGAGCGAAGTTTTGCCGAATATTATGTAGACTCTCCGCACTCTCATGAAAGTAGCGCTTATACAGGGCCAACTGCTTGGGCAGGTACACCATCTGCTCCAGTAGCCACTCCTCAGTAATATATATCCAGTTCTTGATCTTATTGAGAATGCTGAAGCCACTGGAATAGCCATTTGCCACTATTGGTTCATAGACACTGATGGCCCTATTGCCAGCCAGGTAGTTAATGCTCCAAGAGGTTCCACAGAGCGACAGTCCCACTAGCGGGGCCTTGAAGTGGTGGGCAAAGCCATATAGAGCATCTGTGAAGGTTGCTTCGACTATCACCATATCGAACTGGGCACTCTCATCCTGGAGCAATGCCTGGACACCCGGGTCACTGAGCACACAGTTCGATGACTTGTAGAAAAACGCTGCGACGAACGAGGCCTCTTCCCACTTGGTCAGGGGAAACTTCATGTCAACGGTTGACTCTCTGAAATCTAGAATTTTAGAAATATTTGAAGGTAATGTAATATAAAAAGTGAAGTGCATGGCTATAAGCCAAAAATTTCTATTAAAAATTGTAAAATTCTTTAGATTATTTAAGAATAATTTTAAGTAATGTTAGCATTAACGCCAATTTATTCCACTGTAATCAAATTTCAATTCAATATAAAAATAAAATCAAACTGTTATACCTGGTGGGTGTTTCATCTATTGCTCACCTGCCATTAAGTGATCCAGCGCGCTGACCCGTATATGACGAGCGCCGTCGATGTCCGCGAAATATTTCTTTCCAGCTGAGATGATGGTTACTTGATGGCCTTTCTGGACAAGCGTCGTCATGTAGGGCGTCAGGAGCAGGAATGACGACGCAGAGCAATATGAAAATATGGCTAAAATGTTGGCAGCAAGGGCCTGCTGTACGCAAACACCGATGACTAGCAAAGCGCCACTCACGTGCCCCATCATAGTGCGGCACTGCGACCGAACATTTCAATGCTCGCGTTCGTACTGGGGTCTATTGAAGCTATCGGCGGACTTGGATCGTCTGAGGATTAAGCTGTGGAGAGTGTAACTAATCTTATCACTGACATTGGCATTGATATCGAATCCCGACGCCGAGTGAGGCGAATGCCGTTTCAGTTGTGTCAGTTGCATTTCGATATTGGCAGCAATGGGACAAGCAAACTCTGCAAACTTATTTGTTTTGATTGTTTACTGAGAAAAAATATTGGAAACCCCTCTGGTATGAATATTTTCTGTAATTGAAAAAAATGTGATTATTTAATAGAGTTCATAAAAAAAGTCTTAAATACTTGAAGTTACGAAAGATTATTTTGCAAAACTATACACATTTTCGTGCTTATCAAGGTGCTATCTAGAGAAATAATACATTTTAATTGGCGTGTCGTTATCAACTGATAGCAGTTGAAAATAAAACTCAAAGAGCGGAAAAGCGAGCTAGTGCTCAACTTGTAGCTGAGCATTCCAGTTATAATGAATAGGCACAGTTTGAAGTATGGAGAAGAAAACACAGACAAGTGCTGACTATAATATGATATGCAGAGCCAGTCCTCTGGGAACTGGTTCATTAGACAACCTTGTCTAGGGCAACCTTGGTAGGGTAGATTTGGATTACGACAGACTCGAGATTTGACAACCGACATTGTGAAATTATGTTTAAATTCAGTTAATCCTGAATCTGCATTTATCATAAGGTGGAGACAGTCAGCGCATTCGTACCACAGTATGCCTCTACCACAAGCTAACAGCTAATCCAAGGCTTGTAGGCTTATAAATGTAGTCCGACTTTAGACTTATTGTAAACTTTATAGTTTTGCTGCCTATCGTTCCCAACGATGAACAGAGCTACTCTAGCTCCAGCTCGGCTGTTTCGAGGACACTTAAATCTGAAGTCGAGTTCCTTCAATGTGCGCGAAGGAATTGCCAACTGAAATTATTTTTACTTCAGCCCTTTGTCGGCAAGCCTTCTATATAACGTCACACACAGAAAGCGCGAAAATAAGGCTGAAATGCAGGCTGCAAGGTGAAAGCAGACAGATGAAAGCACACACTCAATATAGGCAAGGCATCGCCCACATGAGCTGCCCGGCTCCGGTTCCACGACCGTGCATTTCACTGAGCGCGCTCGTACTGGGCATTATTGAAATTATCGACAGGCCTGTGTCGATTGTGGACTGAGGTACGCAGAGTAGGGCTAATCTTATCAGTGCGCTGCTGTGGGTAGTTGGCTGAGGGGAGAACGGCAAGCATCTCTCCACTTCAGTTGAATTCCACGCTCTGAACGGGCGGCTTGCACAATGCGACTGCTGCAGCTGCGGATTGGGGGCCTAGCCCTCATGACATTATTGCTGTCGGGGTGCCAGGCCTGGGCTGCCAGAATATTGGCCGTGTTCCCCTATGATATGCACTCGCAGTGCATGCTACTGACGCCCTACCTGCTGGCGCTGCTGGAGCGGGGTCATCAGCTGACGATGATACACAACTTTAAGAACTGCGAAGTAGTCGAGCGGCTGCATTCCATACGCATCAGCGATCACTATGACACAACGTTTGGTGAGTTAAAGAGATAATTATTAAAGTATTGAACGTGAATTAAATTAAATAAAATTATTTATTAGGAATAACTTTTCGAAAATTTCAAATTAAATAAAAAAAAAAAAAAAAATGCATTCTTCAAAATTATATTTTTTAATTATTGAAATTAAATTAAATTAATTAAAAATTTCAAAATTTTTTATTAGAGATAACTTTTCAAATTATCGAAATTAAATTAAATATAAAAATTCACTTTTAAAATTATAAATCAAATAAAAATTTACTCTTAAAATTATTTATTAGATATTATTTTTTAATTTGAACATTATTGAAATTAAATTAAATTAATTTACATTTTCTCAAATTTTTATTAGAGATAATTTTTTTTTTAAATTAAATTATGTTAATTAAATATTCAATATAAAATTATTTACTAAAGATAGTTTTTCATATAATTTAAATGAAATTCAATTAGTTAAGATCTCAAAAGTTTTAATTGGACTTATTGAATTAATTAAAATGTATCCTTCAAATGCTCCTTTCAAAACAGAATACAGTTCCGAATCAATTACGGTAAAGTCCCGATGGGTAGAGATCGACTTCATCAGAAAGTACTTCATCAAGATAAATCTAAATGTGCTCTCCACGCCCGCAGTGCAAGCGCTCCTCAGTTCCAATGCCACCTACGATCTGGTGCTCATAGAGCCCTCATACACGGATGCCCTCTTCGGACTGGCGACACATTTCAATGCCAGTCTAGTTGGCCTGGCCACCTGTGGGTCGGATTGGAACGTGGACACCTTGGTGGGCTACATTCCCTCCTCCTCCCTTGAGCCCCTTATGACCTTTAGCTTTAAGCGTGCCGTGACGCTGCTGGACCGCATCAACAACTGGATCCTCATCGCGGAGGAGTGGCTGATACACAAGCTCATCTTTCTGCCATCGATGCGAGCAGTGCACGAGCATTTCTTTGGCCACCTCAGCCAGGGATTCATGGAGATACGCCAGAGCTTCTCGATCGTGTTGCTGAATCAGCACTTCAGCCTCTTCCCTGCGCGCTCGAATGTGCCCAGCTTGGTCGAGGTGGGCGGCATGCATGTGCCAAAGGAGGTGGGAAGGCTGTCGACGGAGCTATTCGAGTTTATAGAAGGGGCGCAGCATGGAGTGATTATCATGTGCCTCGGCTTGGAGGTACAGAGCAGGCATCTATCGCCTGCGACCCAGGTACTGATAGCCGAGGCTTTCCAGGCGCTGCCTCAGCGTGTCATCTGGAAATTCGAGGACGATTCCTATCCTGCGGTGAACAGCAGTATCCACTTCAGCAAGTGGCTGCCACTCCAAGCCCTCCTCGCGCACCCCAACGTGCGTCTCCTGATCAACCACGGTGGCATGCTGAGCGTCTTGGAGGCGGCCCACTTCGGCAAGCCCGTGCTGGGTCTGCCCGTGTTCTTCGACCAGTTCCGCAACATGGAGTGCCTGCGCCAGAGGGGCGTGGGCGAGCTGTTGGACATCAACACCATGACGAGACAAGAGTTTGTCAAAGCAATCAAACAAATCCTGGAGCAGCCCCAATACAAACAGAATGCGATTCAGCTCTCGGAACGCATACGGGATCAGCCCTTGCATCCACTGGACCTGGCTGTCTACTGGACGGAGTACGTGCTGCGGCACAAGGGCGCACCCTTTATGCGCATTTCCAGTTCCGACATCAAGGTGCTGGACTACTACTGCCTGGACAATCTCTTCGTAATCGTTGGCCGCATTTGCTTGCCCGTTTGCCTCCTGCTCTATGTGCTGCACAAGATAATTAAAAACAGGCAGTAGCGATAATTAGGCAGCCATAGAACGCAAGTATGGTCACATATTCCATTATCTTATCAGTGAATGGCAATTACGCTCTTTAATCAATGGAAATGTTTGTGTGGATAGGTGTCGACTGTATAAGTGTTTATTTGTGTAAGGTATATAGCATATTATAAAGTATTATCTATTGTAAAGTATTATCGAAAACTAGTCTTAGCAACATAATAAAATAAAGAATACAATTCAATAGAAAACTAAATAATTTATTATTATTCTGAAGCTTATCATAACAATAATAATTCAGTTCACAAATCATGCGGCACCTGGTCAACAATTTGTGCGTTGTGCGGCATCAACGAATTCTATTCCCAGAGAGAGTCAAAACTTAATTGAAACTGGAAAGAGTCGCTCTATAATATACGCTCTATAGTGAGAGAGAGAGCGAACGACGTTGTATACTAAAAACACGACAGAAAAGCTTAAGTTGAGCGAGATAGCAAGAGAGCGAGAGCGAGAGCGAGAGATAAAAATAAAAACAACAGGGAGAGCGAGAGAGACACATGGAGATTGAGCGTGAGAGCAACGACGACTCGCCTCTTACATAACAACAGAAAATTAGTAAACAAACAAATTTGTTGTCAGACGCGTGCCGATGACCGAGCAGCGCCCACATAGAATACTTAAGCTGTGCTAAAAATAAATAAAAATAATAATAAAATAGAGAGATATATAAAACGGGAATACAGCTACGTTACGCTTCAATAATTTTGGCATTATTTAACTAACGGCCTTCAATTTCCACAAAAAGCGATAATTAAAAATACTTTCGATTGTTAATCTTCAGTTGGGATCGAACCGCCAGCCCATTCGATTCACTTCTAGTCTTCTAGTCCGAAAATGCAGCTGCTTGGCTTGGGAATTCTTATGGGGCTGCTCCATCAGCTGGCTGGGGGCGTGCAGGGCGCCAAGATATTGGCTGTCTTTCCATTCCCCGGCAAATCGCAGTACATATTCGCGGAGCAGTACCTCAAGGAACTGGCCAGAAGAGATCACAATGTTACGGTCATAAATACTTTCGGCAGCCGGGAAATGTCATCGAACTTTCGAGTAATTGGTGCTACTAAAATACACGAGATAATGGCAGGTGAGATTATTATCCGTTATCAATGTAAATGCGCTAGATAAGATAATCGGAACTAGCTTTTGGCAGTGCGGACTACAATCAGCAGGCCAGCCAGTGGACAACGCTGACCATGACCACGGAGTTTCTGAACATGCTGACGAGCTGCGTGCTGGAGGATGACAAGGTGCAGCAGCTGCTGCAAGGCGACGAGACTTTCGATCTGGTATTGCTTGAGACGGTGCAGACCGAGGCACTGTTCGGTCTGGCGCAGCACTTCAAGGCACTGACCATGGGCATCTCCTCGTACGGCACAGATCGCCACATCGATGAGCTGATGGGCAACATATCGCCACTCTCCTTTAACCCCATGCTCCTCTCCTCGCGCACCGAGCGCATGAGCTACGAGCAGCGGCTGTGGAACGTGTGGGACGCCAGCCTGAGCTGGGTGCACAAACGCCTGGTCCATTTGCCCAGCCAAGAGCGGCTTTATGCGAAATACTTTCCCAAGGCCAGCCGGACACTGGAGCAGGTGCTGGACAGCTTCTCGCTGATGCTGCTGGGCCAGCACTTCACGCTCAGCTATCCACGGCCCTATCTGCCCAACATGATTGAGGTGGGCGGCCTGCACTTGCAGCACTCGAGAGAGCCCCAGCCGCTGCCCGATGACCTGGCCAAGTTTGTGGCAGAGGCCGAGCATGGCGTTATATATTTCTCAATGGGTTCGAACATCAAGAGCGCCGATCTGCCTGTGGAAAGGCGGGATGTGCTGCTGCAAGCCTTTGGCAAGCTCAAGCTGCGCGTTCTGTGGAAATTCGAGGGAGAAGTGTTAACGAATCAGCCCGCCAATGTGCTCATTAGCAAATGGTTCCCCCAGCCGGACATCCTCGCGCATCCCAATGTGAAGCTCTTCATCACACACGGCGGCCTGCTGAGCACCATCGAGAGCATCTACTTCGGCAAGCCGGTGCTGGGGCTGCCCGTCTTCTACGACCAGCACTTAAATGTGCAGCGCGCCAAGCAGGCGGGTTTCGGATTATCTCTGAATTTGTGGACCATGACGGCAGCTGAGCTGCACGATGAGATTCTAGAGCTGCTCAGCAACGAGAGCTACGCGCAGGCGGCGCAGCTTAAGTCAAAGCTATATGCCGATCAGAAGGACACGCCGCTGGAGCGCGCCATCTGGTGGACAGAGTACGTACTACGCCACAACGGCGCACCGCACCTGCGATCAGCGTCGCGCGACCTGAACATGGCTCAGCTCCATGGCTTGGACACCTGGGGCTTGCTATGTGGCCTTGCGTTTATTATTGTTTTGCTGTTGTTGTTAATCCTCTTCAAACTCTTGAGATTTGTACGAAATATTTTTGGTAAGCGTAGTACGAAGACAGAATTTGAAAAGAAAAGTCAGTAATGCCTTCTGCAATTAGCAACAATTGTGAAGAAAGTTTGAAATGGCAAATTTGACGGTTAACTAATAAACTAACGTTAGCACATATGAAATAATATTTTCTTGTTAATATAATGCAACATTGTACTTATAAAAGATATTAATAAAATGAATATTGATTTTAATTTATTTCGTAAATATTAAATTATGATAAGTTTTTAAATAGAAAATAAATTGTTAAAAAAAAAAAAAATAAATAAATAAATAAATAAATAAATAATGATAAAAAAAAGAGAGAAAAGTATTAATAATAATAATAATGGCGCTGAGTTAGGTAACATTAATAATAATAATAAAATTAATAATAATAATAATAGTGATAAAAATAATAATAATAATTGAATTAATATTGTATAATGATAATACATATAACAACTGAAATAACTACGTAATATACGAATATGCTTACCAGGAAGCCAATTTCACATGTCAAAGAAATACTCAAATATTTTCCAGATTTTCTACTCTACTCACAGTGCACCAATACTCAAAATATCCATTCCATTGTGTGCGACACAGCCATTAAAGACGACTATACTAAGTAGAGCCAACAGACGCCTGAAAATGAGATAAAAATGATTAGAGAGCTTTAAACAAATGTTCAACATGCTCAATATCTCCCAGAGTATACAAACCTTATCTATACGAGTATTTCAAGTTCGAGGTAAGGCTCACTCTCAGTTTCGAGAGCTCAATGCCAACAAACATTCTAAGCGAACAGCGTGCTTTTTTCCCTTTATCTTTTGTTTGCATACCGTCATTTCGCAATGAGCTTTACAAATTTTTGCTGATGATCATGACTGGCACATTTCGCACGCAAACGAGATTTTAGTCGAGCCTAGCCGGAGCAGCGCATTCGCGAGCATCTCTATCAGCAGAGACAGAGCCTAATTTAGTAATCTAATAATGAAATGCTGGCACTCGCGGCGATCTAGGTGAGGTTGGGTGTGGCGGCATGCTGCGGTGCTCATATAAATGATTGTAATCGCCGTTGTAAAGGCTGTTATCGCATGCACGTCCATCACTCTAATCTGAGCTGAACAATGCTTTTGATGGAGACCACCGCATCTCAGTAGTTCAGTTACACACTAGAATTGTGCCCAGTCGCACGGCCTACGAGATGCCAATTTCCCGACTGTTTATTTCGCTGTTATTCTGCGTACTACCACAGCTCCTTGAGGGTGCGCGGATACTGGCAATATTTCCCTTTCCGGGACCCTCGCAATACATTAATGTAGTGCCCTATCTGAAGGGCCTCGCCGCTCGCGGCCATCAGGTAACATCGGTGAACGCCTTTCCCCAAAAGAAGCCAGTGGAAAACTTCCATGACATTGTAGTTCCAGAAGTGTTTCAGTCCTACGAAGGTACGTCTGTCATCCATGTAGACCGAATGGAATTTTGAATCGGTCTCTTTTCTGATCATTACAGAGATCATTGCTGATCTTGAGATCAGTAGGAATTCGTGGGAGGAGAACAGTTTCGTAAATGACTTCTTTCTGAGCGTCACCAAAACAGTGCTGCAGAATGCGAAGGTGCAGCAGGAGCTACTACAGCCGGGCAAGGCTCAGTTCGACTTGATCATTGTGGAAGCCTTGCGCACCGATGCGCTCTATGGCTTCGCAGCACACTTCAATGCGCCGATCATTGGCATCTCCACATTCGGCACGGACTGGAACATCGATGAGCTGGTGGGCAACACTTCGCCGATTTCCTATATACCGCTCATTACGGGCGGACTGACCGATCACATGACCTACTGGGAGCGAGTGCACAACTTTGTCGAGACTGCCATAGCCTGGCTGAACTGGAAGCTGGTTTATGTGCCGCTGCATGGAGAAGCTCTACGAGCAATACTTTCCACACATTGCCCATAAGAAGCCATTGGTGGAGCTGAGCAAGAACTTTTCGCTGGTGCTGCTCAATCAACACTTCTCGCTGAGCTTCCCCCGGCCGTATGTGCCCAACATGATCGAGGTTGGGGGCCTGCATATTGCACACAAGCCGGCGCCCTTGCCCAAGGAGATGGAGGAGTTCATTCAAGGCGCCGGCTCGACAGGTGTTATATACTTTTCACTCGGCTCGAACATAAAGAGCAAGGATCTGCCAGAGGAGCGCAAGCAGATGCTGCTGCAGGCCTTGGCAAGTCTGCCGCAGCGTGTGCTCTGGAAGTTCGAGGACGAGCAGCTGCCAAATAAGCCGCCAAATGTGTTTATCAGCAAATGGTTCCCCCAGCCGGACATCCTGGCGCATCCCAATGTGAAACTCTTCATCACACACGGCGGCCTGCTGAGCACCATCGAGAGCATTCATCATGGCAAACCTGTGCTGGGGCTGCCCTTCTTCTACGATCAGTTTCTGAACGTCGAGCGCGCCAAACAGGCTGGCTTTGGGCTGGCTCTCGACCATAAGCAGATGACAGGCGCAGAGTTTGTCCAAACCATAAAACGTTTGATCAATGAACCGAAATTCAGCGAGACAGCAAAGCTAATGTCGGCTCGTTACCGGGATCAGCCCATGAGTCCGCAGGAGACGGCCATCTGGTGGACGGAGTACGTGCTGCGGCACAAGGGCGCTCCACACATGCGCATCGCTGCCCAGGACCTGAGCTTTGTGGCCTATCACAGTCTGGATGTAGTCGGCCTCCTCTTGGGCGTGGCCGTGTTGATGCTTGTCATAATATTTTATCTGTTGCAGAGGCTGCTGTGCAGTCGAGGGGGTGCAGGAAATCAGAAATTGAAAAATCAGTAGGAGCTTTGTAAACACATTAGATCAATTGTAGCTGGGAGCAGGCGCCATAGATTGGATTTTAGGTAATTTATGCCTGCTCAATGTTCAATCTTTATTTAAAGTTGCCAAAATATAATTGGATTATATGGGTATATAATATACGTATATATATATATGGGTGTGGCATTGGTCAGCTGCTATGCGCGGTCGCATATAAATATCGCTTCATTACTATGCAGTTCATTATGGTGTGGGTAACCCAGAAATATGCATTAACCGCTGTCCAATCAGCTGCAGCATACACAGCGTATGCGTAATATTAAATTGCAGCGCAACTTCCGTTATATGTGCGTCGCTTATTTTTAGCCGCAGCGCCAAATGTGTAATCAAAAATTCATGAGCTGTATATGCGATTGGTGTCTGTTGTTGTTGTTGCGGCTGTTGTTGTTGTTGCGTTGATGTTGTTGTTGATGTAGTTGTAGCTGTTATTAGCACAGACATTTTGCATAAAAAGCTGCAGATGCCATTGTTGGCATGCAAATGCAAATGATTTCATCGAATTAAAGCTGCCGTTGAATGCCTTTAAAAATCCCGTGAGACGCATTCGCTGCGAATTGCCTGGTGTCCTGCGCTGCGGTTGCGAAGCCTTTAATGAGTGCACGATTATCATCAATTGTGCTGCTGCTGGACGTGCGCTGAAATCAGTTTTACAAATACCGTGCGGAAAATAGCATGAATAGGAAATTTTGAAAATTTAATGAGCTAATTCATCTGATTTAAAAGTTTTTTCTTTACATACACCAAAAATAGCTTAGGCAATAAAGAAAAATATATAAAATTATTTTTGTCATTCTCCACTTTTCCATTGCAAAAGAATATTTATCCATTCAACTCCATCCGTTTATAAGCTCTGTAAAATATGTGCCAGCAGCAAATCAGTCGAATCCATGACTTTTCTCGCAGTCAGCTCGTTGTTTGCCTGGCGATTGAGAGTCCCATTTGCATATCCATTTGCACGCCGAGGCAGGTTTGTTTGTTTTCACAACAGTGCGGTGAGAGGTGTCGCCGGGAGCGGGAATGGCTCAACGATTTGCTGGTATAGTAAATTGCAAGATATTTTCTTAAGAGCCTGGGAGTGTTTTGCCAGCTATGATACATTTATCAAATTCTTACTCAAAAATATATCGTTAAAGCTTAATATGCAAATCATAAATTTATATTTATATGCTTGTTATTGTACATATTTATATAAAGTTACATAAATATATATACATACATATATATTTTTTTAAATAAATATTTAGAAGCTGGGATAGGGAAAGAGCTGATCCCAGATTTTGTAACGCTCTTCATAAATATTGCCAGTCTTTGGCGTTAGATTCGTATCGATTTCCAAATACGCTTGATTTTGGCGAGTGTATTGGGGCCACTGTAGGCGGCGTAAGTATTCGTCCGTCACACTGTTGGGATCGCTGAATGAACCAAAGATTAGATGAATTTGTACTGGATCTGACGCCTTATATACCTACCCCTTTCTGGCAAACTCTACCCACAGGCGCGTCAGCCGCTCGATCAGCAAGTTTTCTGGGTCGCTCTCTTTGAACGCTGGAGCTATAAGCGGCACTTGGAACAGATACAGCAGCTCATCGTGATGCACAGCGCCTGAAAAAATAACTAATTAGCCCTGACCGCACATTTGATTAGGAAGTAATATGCACCAAAAGTTTGATTGGTGTCCGGATGCATCAGGAAGCTGTAGCGCCCTTTGTAGCGGAAGAAGTACCTGAAGACTGGTGTGTGCGGAGCCATTAGACTCATAAAGCGATGGTACTCGAGCCCAATGAGTGCATCGCTATAGGCCCTGCCCAGACCTTGGAGAGATGCGGGATTCTGAATATTCCCATTTCCCAAATATTCCCTTCGTAGCACAGCGCTGGCCTCCCGCGAGTGAGTCGTGTTCTGCTCATAGAGCAGCACAATCGGAGCAAAATGTTCCCAGTTATCGTTCAGCTTCTCCCGTATGCTGGCGTTGCGCAGATCATCTATAAGCGAAAGCCATTAGAATGGATAACTCATGCGACATGTCAACTCACAGAAGGCGGCCGAGAGAAACTCAAACTCAGTGATGCCAGTGATGAGGGGGACCTTGTAGAACTTTCCGCTAAGAGCCGTTTTGTACGGATGCTCGAGCAGAAAACGCTCCTGGCCAAAGTCCTGCTCGATTACCGGAAGCCAGTTTAGCACAGGGTGCCAGCCAATTTCGAACATGCCGTTGTAGGAGCTCACAAAGTCCATCATGGGCTTGCGGCGCAGACAGGCGACCAAATCTTCCACTGGTAGCTCCGGGCATTTGAGCAGACGTGCCTGGCGCTGCGCGAGCATCAGATCTGATGTGTGGTACTCCCACTGGCCATACGGCGAGGCACTCATGCATATTCCCCGATGGAACAGGCCCCGGGACATCGGAGACAACATGTGCAGGCCAATGCTCAGGCTGCCCGCACTGTAGCCCAGGAGCGTCACTGAGCCCGGATCGCCGCCGAACAGATGGATGTGCTTCTGAATCCAGCGAAGAGCCAGTACCTGATCCTTGAGTCCAGCATTGCCGGGGGCATCGGCGCTGCCAGTGGCCAGGAAGCCCAGGCTGCCCAGCCGGTAGTTTAGCGAGACGAGCACACAGTCGCGATCCATCAAGTGCGCCGGACCGGCCAAGTACTTGCTCTGCCCGGAGAAGACATAGAAGCCGCCGGGATGCAGAAACACAATGACTGGCCGACGAGCAGTTGGACTCAGATTCTTTGAATACACATTCAAGCGCAAACAGTCCTCGGACACGTCCGTCATATTTCCCCACGGCTGCGGGCACATGGGCCCGTCCTGGCTGGCATCAAAGGTCGCTGGTGCCCAGGGCTTCACGGGCCGTGGATTTCTGAAGCGCAGCTCACCCAGCGGTGGCTCAGCGTAGCGTATGCCGCGAAAAGCATGGAACTGCACG